CACTCAGCCCTCTTTGGGGAGTTTTTAATCAGGCATGGTGATTGTATCAAAACATACAAACAATGATGGTATTAAAATAGTCCTTGCAAAATGTTATCAGTGCTTTGAGGAAGGTAAGGACTTGGCCTGGTACATCATAAATATTTATTAGAGTTTGTTGACTTAAAAAAAGAAAGCCAGAAAAGTCTTTTGACCTCTAAAACCTTAAACTGTTCCCTTGCAGTTCAGCTTTTTTTGGCATGGAGAAGTAATTATCTGCAAACTTCTTCCTTCTCCAGAGCAGCTCCTTTGCAAAATAAGACTTACCTAAATTCTATTTTTTTTTTCCGAGATGGAGTTTCACTCTTGTTGCCTAGGCTGGAGTGCAATGGCGCAATCTCAGCTCACTGCAACCTCCGCCTCCTGAGTTCAAGCAATTCTCCTGCCTCAGCCTCCCAAGTAGCTGGGATTACAGGTGCCCACCACCACACCCAGCTAATTTTTTGTATTTTTAGTAGAGATGGGGTTTCACTCTGTTGGCCAGGCTAGTCTCAAACTCCTGACCTCAGGTGATCCACCCATAATGGCCTCCCAAAGTGCTGGCATTACAGGCGTGAGCCACCATACCTGGCCTAAATTCTTAAGCCTTCTATCAAATATAAGAGAAAATCCAAGAAGTGAAGTGGGATTGGGTGTCCTATGGATCCAGTTGCATATTTACCCTCCTCCATCTGTGGTTCAAATGCTTACCAGGTTACAGCAGAGAAGCTGAGCTTATGCATGCTGGTAGTAGGTATCAATAATATGAAATCGGGATCCAGTTTTATTTACAACCTTACACATCCATGAATTGGCCATAATTACATGTACAATCAGCATAGCCAATGACAAGGTACTATGATAGTTAGCTCTTTTCCTTTATCTGTTCTCTGACCTTCTACCTTGGCTATTCATCAGGTTGGTGGAAGAGGGAGTCCCCAGCACTGGCCACTGATTGTGTGCCCTACCTTCTACTTGTTCTTAGCATCACTCAGGCACACCCTTTCCCCACTACCCTGCTTCACACAACTGCTACATATCTGTTCACATACATGCTGTATAGATTGTTTCCTTTGATCTCTTAACAACAACCCTTAAGTAGCAAGGATGCTATGCAGATGGTCCATTCATTAATTTATTCTCATTCCATCTTCCTTCTCCCCATCTCCTTATGCTGTCTTCTCTCCATAGATTAAAATAAAACATAAAACAAAGAGACGGAGTATTCCTCATTGGATTGTTTTCCAGATTTACAGAGTCTCTGGGAATATTCCGAATTCATACTCACAGTATTGTTTTTATCAGGATCCTAAGAAGTGGCAAAGTTAAGTCAGCACCTCTGAGTGGAGGAGTCCCCAGAATGTTTGGTGGAAAAGCCCTGACCTAGGATAGAAAGAGCTGAGCTCTAGCTTAGCATTTCTCTTAACCCAGCCAAGTGACTTAGCCATGCTGGCCCTTAATTTTCTGGTCAGCAAAACAAGAGAATTGGGATCTTTAAGGCCTCTTCTAGCATCAACTGTGTGGGATTCTGTTCTTTAGTTACTCATCTACAAAACATCAAGTTTTACTGTTTTTAAACTGATGTTCTTTGTTAGCTCATTCTTAACATAAGTTTAAATCTGTAACTAGTATCTGCTGATTTAAAAATGTACCTTTATTGTTTTTTTGTTGTTTTTTTTTTTGAGACGGAGTTTCACTCTTGTTACCCAGGCTGGAGTGCAATGGCGCGATCTCGGTTCACCGCAACCTCCGCCTCCTGGGTTCAGGCAATTCTCCTGCCTCAGCCTCCCGAGTAGCTGGGATTACAGGCACGCACCACCATGCCCAGCTAATTTTTTGTATCTTTAGTAGAGACGGGGTTTCACCATTTCGACCAGGATGGTCTTGATCTCTTGACCTCGTGATCCACCCGCCTCGGCCTCCCAAAGTGCTGGGATTATAGGCGTGAGCCATCGCGCCCGGCCCCTTTATTGTTTTTATTAAAAAAAGTATTATACTTTCTACCTATACGTTTCTCATTAGTTGTTACCAATGACTCCTCTTTCTCTTCCTTATTCTATCCTCTCTCATCTCATTCTTCATAGTTGAAGTGTTGATGGCATTAGCTAGTTGATGGATAGCTAGTATCTCAGACTTCCCTAGGCTTGAAATATACGTATATGTAAACATAATATTCTTTTGACTATAAAGGGATTATATACATATGGTTCTGAAGCTTGCGTTTTTATTAGTGAATGATAGAGATGAACATAAGGAAACAATATTCAGTGAAACCTAAGTCTCCCTCATACTCTTAATTCCCAGTTCTCCTTCCTTAGAGGCAATGTTTATGTATCAGAAATTTTCTGTGTCTATGTACACACTTAGAGAGATGTGATTTTTTTTTAACAGAGTGAGAGCATACTATTCACTGTTTAGCTTTTTGCTGCTGCTGCTGCTTTTTGTTTTTGTTTTCCTCTTTTGGCTTAATGTTGTATTTTGGAGATGATTCCATGTCAAATAATTCATGTAAACAGTAAGTGCTCAAAAATGTTAATTACCATCAGGCCTCTAAACAGCTTTCCTATCATTTGTTTAAGGCTACAAAACATTCCATTGTGCAGGTACACTACTTCCTTATTGATATTTCCAATGTGGCTATTATAAATAATGGTTCAATGTACATCCTTGCTTCTAAGTATTTGTATCACTGTATCTGCAGAGAAATGTCTGTTGAAAGACTGTACCTTTTATATTTTGTTAGATATTTATTTAGAAGGCAGTCTGGCAGTTGGCTGAACCTGTTTGCATTCCTCTCAAGAATATATGAGGCGGCTGGGCGCGTTGGTTCATGCCTGTAATTCCAGCACGTTGGGAGGTTGAGGTGGGCAGATCACAAGGTCAGGAGTTCGAGACCAGTCTGACTAACATGGTGAAACCCCATCTCTACTAAAAATACAAAAATTAGCCAGGGACGATGTCATGTGCCTGTAGTCCCAGCTACTTGGGAGGCTGAGGCAGGAGAATCACATGGACCCAGGAAGCGGAGGTTGCAGTGAGCTGAGATCATACCGCTGCACTCCTCCAGCCTGGGTAACAGAGTGAGACTCCATCTCAAAAAAAAATTGAGTTGAGGTGGCTTATTTTTGTGCTCAGTTTTCATGTCTGTGTCAGATATATCTTTATATATATATATATATGTATGTATTTGACATGGGGTCTTGCTCTGTCACCCATGCTAGAGTGCAGTGGCTCAATCTCTGCTCACTGCAGCCTTTGCCTTCTGGGTTCAAGCAGTTCTCCTGCCTCAGCCTCCCGAATAGCTGGGATTACTGGGGCACACCACCAAGCCCTGCTAATTTTTGTACTTTTAGTAGAGACGGGGTTTCACCATGTTAACCAGGCTTGTCTTGAACTCCTGACTTCACGTGATCCATCTGCCTTGGCCTCCCAGAGTGCTGGGATTACAGGCATCAGCCACCACGCCTAGCCAGATAGATTTAAAAAGTGTTTGTTAGCTTTCTCCACTCATTCTTTTTATGGCAGAAGTTGTCTCCAACATTTCCTTTACAGTGTTTCTTAACACACACACACACACACACACACACACACACAGATACAACCAGTTCAGCCTGAAAAAAAACAACTCGTGTAGTTTGCATCAAGAAAGCCAGTCTGTAAAACTTTGTATTTAGTCCAAGGGAAGCGGCGAGGTTTGTTGATAGACGCCACTTCCCTTTTTTGCGTCATGTGTGCCTATGCGTATGCGCCACACTCCCATCCACCTATTGATGAATTGTGAGTTTCTTTCCAAAGACTACATTTCCTAGAAGGATGGTTATTTTTTTAAACCCTCACTTACAAATTGTTATGGAAAAGGGGTTAGAGGTTACCTGGTGTTACATATAAAGAAACAGAGATCCAAAAAGGTGAATTAAGTGGTTCAGGATCATGGTGGTGAAAACAGGGCTACAACTCTGCCTTTGGGGCTCCTAGTCTAGCCTGTTTGCCAGAGTCACACGTTAAAATGATTCTCTTTGTGATTTTCTTTATAGATCATGCAATGTATTTAAATAGTGAACTGATGGTAACAATTTATAGAGCAAATCTGTTTCATAAAGTAGCACTTTATAAAATATATTCTAGGTGTGTTAATAGATATTAACATGGAAGAAAGCAATATAGAGAACTTCTCTCCCCCAACACCCTCACTTTTTTAAACAGAGCATCTTAGGGTATTGATACTGAGTTGTATGTGTCAGTGTTCCATGGTGGAACATAATTCCACCATGGAACACTGACACATACAACTCAAAACCTAAGGAATCACTGAGCTAGATTGCACCATTGGCAGGAAAAGTCTTTTAAATTTGGTCACTAGGGCTGGGCGTGGTGGCTCATGCCTGTAATCCCAGCACTGTGGGAGGCCAAGGTGGGTAGATCACCTGAGGTCATGAGTTTGAGACCAGCCTAGCCAACATGGCAAAACCCCATCTCTACTAAAAATACAAAAGTTAGGCAGGTGTGGTGGTGTGCGCCTGTAACCCCAGCTACTTGGGAGCCTGTGGTGGGAGAATTCCTTGAACCAGGGAGGCAGAGGTTGCCGTGAGTCAATATCATGCCATTGCACTCCAGCCAGGGCAACAGAGCGAGACTCTGTCTCAAAAATAAATAAATAAATAAATAAATAAATAAATAAATAAATAAATATTGTCACTGGGAGGAAAGTATTCTTTACCTAGTATGTTTCTCAATGAAAGAACTTGTGTCGTGATCTGTGTCCGTGTAAGTCCCTCTCCAATGGTACTGTCAAGGTCCTTTATCTGATGGCCTGGTGAAGGTGAAGGTCAGAGCAGGAAGAACACAAGAGTGGCTCGCGTCTCTTCTGGGTGGTAGTGATTGAGTCTGTAAGAGCCACAGCTGACTTGAAGAGCTAACTTAATAATGTGATAGTTAAAACGAGGTAATTTATTCACCATTGGACCTTAACAAGATGTCTGCAGAACACAGCTTGAAGGGGATCGAAGACAGAACCTCTTGGATGGTCTTGTAACTCGAGAGAGACTACTTCTGGCATCCTTTAAGAATGAGGGTGCTGAACCAGATCTAATCAGGTAGGATGTTTTCATTTACAGGGATTACTTGGTGGGTGAAGACGTCTTTGCAGATATTACAGCTGTTTCCTGAATGGCTTAATTTAGGAATCAGATCAATTAAGATATATTCTGTTAATTGATGGCATTTGACTATAATTTTCTACTCAGTTTTTGTTAATTTTCTAGATTTAGTAAACCAGGTATGTTCAGCTGAATCCCATTTTGGGTGGAGCATATTAAGGTAGACTGCAGGTGAAGTCAGAAAATTTCTTTGGCATTCTTTGGTTGAGTTTTCTGCTTTGTTAACTGCCTTATAAACTCCTGAAGTCACTACTTATCTGTGTGGGCAAAGGAGTTTTGTTTTTTTTAATTGGCCTCTTGAAAAAGATGAGTCCTAATAAGACTTGGTCCGGGGCTCACAGAGGCAAAGGAGTTGCGCAGTTGAATCCTTCTCCCCATTCTTCGCCAGTGAGTGAGTCACACTTCAAAGAGCTGACAGCTGCCCTGAACCCAGCTCTGCTGGAAGACCCGGAGAACGGGTCTGGCTTTCCAAGGCTGAGGTTGATGAACCGTAAATTGTTACATCTTTAGAATTGGCCTCCCACTGCTTCCAGAGCTCCCTTAGCTTCATTCTGGGAACCATCACAGAAGGCAATGAGCCTGGGTGGAAACCCACCTCTTCTCATAGTCCATGCAGGGATGATGCATTTACTGTGGAGAGGAGCTTGTTTCTACTTAGTTCCCAGATAGGAATAGTATGGCTTCCCAAGGGCAGTAGTTTTGGACCCTAGTCATTCATTACCAGACTCCGCCTCAGACAAGTAAACCAGAGTGGGATTGGGGTGGAGACACATAGGGTCAGGGAGGTCCCAGGTGTTTCTAATATACAACAGGGATTGCAAACCACTACCTAGGACAAGCTGAAGAAAATGAAACTGATTTTCCTTGGGTCCCAGTCTTCTCAGGAGCAGTGATCCAAGGTTTCATAAACTATGAAATAGAGGAAGGTAGATTAAATGCTAAGTTGCTTCTGTGAAGAAATGAACCTAACAAGGCAGCGAGGGAGGAGCGATACTCTGTTGGCAGTCTCCTGGGCAGGGTTTAAATGAAGACAGAAGCCTGTGGTGGGCCAGTCTACTGTGGATCCCAATTATTTCCCTGGCAAATGCAGTCCCAGGGTGCTGGGGTGAAGTAAGTGGATGAAGGTGGTGGTCCAGGTTGGTTAAAGAGAACAAGTGAGTGAAGGAATCCAAGGTGAATGGAAAGTACTGTCTTTCAGAAGGGGCTTTACACTGAAGGCGGAGTCTCTTTAGTGGAGAAAAGAATAAGGGCATAGTTAGGACAGGGAGCTGGTTTCGTGGAGGAATAGGGGTCATGTAGAGACATGATGGTCAGAAGGGGGACAAAGCATTCAGACTGTTCTGCTTGATAGTGATGAGGCAGTCGTGATATATAGTCATAGTTCACATTTGAGAAGAGTCTGGTTTGCACCAGACTCTGCTCTTTGCTTGTCACTAATTGTGTCACTTAATGATGCTGAAGAGGCCAACCTATGAATTTAGGCCAAGGACCTCTTAAGTCCTCCCACTATTTCCTGGTGGTTTTTGTTTTGTTAGTTTTTGGTCCCCGCTTGCCTGTCATTATCACCCCTGTTCTCTGATCATCTCTGTGTTCTTTAATGTGCTACCTGCTGATAAGCAGCGTCAGCATCAATCGCCTGCTAGTATATTACAAATTCAGCTTTCCCAGCTCCAAACTGTGGAATCAAACCTTGCATTTTAACAAGATCATCAAGTGATTTGAATGCATATTACAATTTGAGAAATACGGCTTTGTATGATTTATTTTTTTTTTTTTTGAGATGGGGTGTTGCTCTGTTGCCCAGGCTGGAGTGCAGTGGCACAATCTCTGCTCACTGCAACCTCTGCCTCCTGGGTTCAAGTGATCCTTCTGCCTCAACCTCCTAAGTAGCTGGGATTACAGGCATGCGCCACCACGCCCAGCTAATTTTGTATTTTTAGTAGAGATGAGATTTCACCATGTTGGCCAGGCTGGTCTTGAACTCCTGACCTCAGGTGATCTGCCCACCTTGGCCTCCCAAATTGGTGGGATTACAGGCATGAGCCACTGTGCCCAGCCTGTATCATTTATTCTTAATCGTGGCACTTTGCATCAGAATCACCCAAAAGAGAATGGAAAAAAAAAAAAAAAGAAATACAAATGTCTGGGCCATATACTTGCAGATTTGTAGTCTTGGGTGAGGCTTGGGCAGCAGTAAGGCTGATTTGTAGTCTTGGGTGAGGCCTGGGCAGCAGTAAGGCTGGAGAGACTGCCAGGTGGTTTTAGTAGGTGGCAGGGTTAGAATGACTGCTCTATGTCACAATATACTAGTCATGAGACCAGTAGCTTATGTCTTCTACTTGTTTTTGATAGGGTAGGCACTGTGCTAAGGTCTTTCTGTGCATTTGCTCAGGAGCTCTTTATAATATCTGAGGCTCAAAGGGTTCAAGACTCTAAAACTAATCAGTCATAGAGCTTGGATTTTAGCCCTGAATTCTTAACCACTGCACCAGCTGAGCGAGTTGCTGGAAGGACCCAGTTCTGTAGCTTGCTAGTCCCTCAGTCATCTGGGCTTCAAAATCATTGACCTTCAACTGGGGATACATGTGCTGCCTATTTTTCATTAGGAACCAGATGAAGTGATTCCTATGAGATGGGCTTTGTAAACTCTAAGATCTTTATAAATACAAGATGTTATTACTAGACCATTATGTCTCCATCAGGTTAGGAGGAAGCTCATGCTGCTTCCTTGCTTCGAAGACCTTCTGTCCCTCCTGTCATGCCCCTGAGTGCTCTAGAGGGACCTGGTCTGTTTGACCCCCTCCTCTGCTGCACCTGGTCCTTTACCCTCCATTCTCCCCTTCCAAATCTCATTTGTTCTGTGTCTGCTTCCCTCCATGCCAATCTTGCTACCTGTTGTCTTTTAGTGAACAATGTCATGTTAATTCTAGCAGTGGAATTGATGGCTTGCGGTGACTTGTCTTCTGGAGGTATTTTAAACGAAACCTCCTTAAACCCTAGGATTTAAACCAAAGTAAATTCGTTGATGGGAATGTTTAGGGAGTTTAGCAGGTTAGTGTCCAGTGATTTTTTTGGATGGAGGCCTTCTGAGGACCTCTCAGGTCCTGCTGCTGGAACTGCCTTATGCTCTTCAGGCATGTAAGGCTGATCCATGTGGTTGACTAAAGCTGTTGCTTGTTGGTTTCTTGGGGAATGGCTGGGGTGACATGAGGACAGAGACCATACTGGAGAGACACTGTAAAGCAAAGGTAACTGAAGCCCTGAGGGTTGAAATAAAGTAACTGGCCAGATTTATTTCCATGCTCTCTAGATGAAACCAAGGGCAACATAGATATTGATATCAACTGGGCATGGTGGCTCATGCCTGTAATCCCAGCTCTTTGGGAGGCCAAGGTGGGTGGATCACCTGAGGTCAGGAGTTCAAGACCAGCCTGACCAACATAGTGAACCCCGTCTCTACTAAAAATACAAAAAAATTAGCTGTAATCCCAGCTACTTGGGAGGCTGAGACAGGAGAATGGCTTGAACCCCGAAGGTGGAGGTTGCAGTGAGTCAGGGTTGCACCATTGTACTCCAGCCTGGGCAACAAGAGTGAGACTCCGTCTCAAAAAAAAAAAAAAAAAGATATTGGTGTATCTTTTCTGTTCAGGACCAGAAGTGTAGGATACGCTTCTAGAGAATTCTGTTTAAAAAGAATGTAAGCACTGTAAAGGAGAAATGGCTCCTGAGGAGTGGAGAAGGTAGAGGTGGACAGCGATGGTCTGATCCAGATGACATGGAGTCTGGCCAAGAGTGAGAAACGAACATGGTGACTGGATATTGAGTGCTGTGAAGAAAGAAAATCATTGCAGTTCAAAGAGGAAGGAGAACAATGAACATGGACTGGAAAGTCAATTTCCCATTCACTTCCATTGGTGAATCCTTGTTGGGCTAGGATTGCTTTAGTCCCAACACCCTAACAGGAAGGTGTCCACATACACTTGTCCAAAAAGTGCGAGTCCTATAGACATTCCAGAGGTGTCTGATCAATAAGAAAATTCATACTAGACAAAACCACTCTCAAAAGCTGTGTAGAAAAGTCCCTGGGAAATCTGTTCAAGGGCCGTAAGAACAAATAACCCACTAGCGTTGCTCCAAATAGTCAGGGAGGATGGCACTATGTGGACTTGCTGAGGACCAGCAATAAGTGTATGGATGTGTGAATGCTAAAGCCAGAGTAGACTCCGAGGTAGATTTTCTTAGATTTAAGGTCAGAGTTGCTGGTCTTTGATTTCCTTCCCCTGCCTATGTAAGAGTATTATTTTTGCCTTCTTTACTCCTGATCCCCACCCCTGAGACCTCCCCTTCTGTCCCCAACCTCTCATACCTAATAGTTCTCTTGCTTGGACCTAGTCCTCCGAGGACCTTGGTTCCGTTGTAAACATGACATGTGTCCATTCATAGATTGTGTCCCCTTCCCTCCTGATTATCAGTTGGTCAGTCATTTCTAATACCAACTGTTACGGAACGCTCAGCTCTATCTTTGGAGGAACTCATTCCTTTCTCTGCCAGTTGGTTTCTGTAGTATCTCCCATGACTAACAGATTTCCTCAGTCCTCTGCACAGTTAATTCCTAGTTCTGGGCTCCTCCAATATTTTCATTTGCTTCTCTAATCTCTGGATTCCTCCAACATTTTTCTTTGCTTCTGTAGTTCTTGGTTTTGGGAGGGTCATTGGGTTACTTTGTCACTTTGTGGGTGGAGGATTGGTGTCTTTCCCTTAATTCATGACTTCCAGAAGCACAGTGGCCAGAAAGTCATGTCAGAACTTCGAAATGTTATAGACATGCTCACTATGGCACATTTTGTCATTAATGCTAGACCATGACCACAACACATTTACTGTGAGAGAACTGGGGTTAATCTGCTAACCAACATTTCCCTAGCAACTGACAGCAA